ACACTATCCCATATATGAATAACAGGGGGAGAGGTGTGCGAGGCATGATTCTGAACAAAAGAAGTTCCTCTTTTCTTTTCTTAGAGGTCTTTGAAGGTGCCTGTAAACTTTTGTGATCGACAGATGCCCACTTATAGTTTAAGAAACTATTCATTAGGTTACTATTTTACAGAGTATAAATCAGTGACTCTCACCTAGGGTGCCCCAAGATCTTTGGAAGGGTGCTCTGAAGTGTGGGAAGATAAATGCAAGCTCAGGCAGTCCCTGCTTGACTGCTGCCCTGTCTCTCTGCAAGCAGGCAAGCGCTGTAATAAGTACATTAGTTTTTGAAATAGGGCATTGCTCAACTCACAAAAGCCATCAAGGGGTGCCTCAAGTCTGATGAGGGGTGCTTCAGTTCTGAAAAGATTGAAAATCACTGGTATAAATATTCCATTGTTATTTCATTTTCCCATTGCTAACAATAGACGGTCTGTAACTTGTCTACATGTGTACCTATTTATTGTTATGGCATCACCTTTTTTCAAATGATATTTTAGAGACAAATAAGAAAAATAAGGTCCCAACAAAGTTGAACACCACACGTGTACTCCAAAGGTGTCCTGTTCACAAAATTCATGAATAATACTGGTATATATTCCGTAGTAAGCCCCAGAATCAGTTGGCAAACCTTTCAAATGTCAAGTTTTTAAGTGCAACCGCTGTGAAATTGAAATAAATTATGCACAAAACCTGTAAACAGCCTTGGGGATGGATGCTACAGATATGGGAGATGTGACAGCAGACAACAGGAAGGAAAGCTCTTTGGGAGAACAGTGTTAACAACTCTTTTTTAAATACCAGTTTCTTCAACATAGACCTCAAAATCATTCATCTATTAAAAGTATTATGTGCTTTGAAATGGGGAAAAAATAGGGGGGAAAAAGCCTGAGAGCTGATAGTTTTTATAAACTATGAGTCATTTAAAAATCATGCATTATATATGGGTACAGCATATGCCTGTCTCCATTTAAGGAATCTGATCATTAACTAGGCAAGGCTGTGTTGGTACATTAGTATTCATATTTTCCAGTTAAGTCTTGTTTGCTTGTTTTGTTTCGTTTTTCATCATTCTGGAAAATCACCAGTTTGGGTCAACTGCTCAGGAGGAAGTGGAGTCATTGATAAATGCTTTAATTTGTTTTAAAGGCTTGACAATGGTGACGTTAAGTACAAGTGTTCCAGGATACATTTTGTACCACGTGTATGAGATTCATTGGCTGGTATTTGCATAGTTGACTGAATGCGTCTCCTTCATTTGAAATAGCAGTGTTCACTCCTTTTCTTTCCAGGGTTTATTTCATTCCTTAACAATTGAAGTTTGTTGTGGGATAACAATGCCCATTCCCTGATCTGGAGGATTTCGGTTATTAATTTGGCCTCTGTGCTTTAACCTTTCCACCTTGGGATACCCTTCAGGTAGCAGATCTAGCCACCACAGCTCCCCTGTTCATGGGAGCTCACAAGCCTTTCTGTTATGCAAGTCATACAAGCCCTAAAAAGCAGTCAGAGCTCTTTAGGTGAATTATCAGCAATGGCTAAACTACACTTATGATAGAAAGGTGGGGACAGATTAAGAGGGAACCATAATTTCTAGTATCTGCAGACCCAAGGGGTAATGGATTAGCAGACTGACTTCTTCCAGTGCTCATTAACCTCTTTTAAGATTGTGTTCCTGTCAAAAGTGTTATTACTTTACTTTTCATTTTCATTAGTTTAATATAAGTTATAACTCTGTTTTAAGGAGAATGACTGCTGAGCATGGGTGACAAGTAAACTAATAAGATAACATCTGCTTCTGAAGGTTTCTAATGTTTGAAGTAGTCTTGGCAGAGATGACAGTGAGCATAGTGCTCGCGACACACTTGGGTGCATGCTAGAGGTTGCGTATCATGTCTCTACAGCCCACTACATAGAAAAAGGCACCACATATATTGTAGCTGTGTGGGCACATACAGGACCTTTATCTAATGGCATGTAAGCAGAAGGGCACATTAAAAATCAAGCCAATTCACTATCTGTTATTAGTTGTTCAACTCTAAATTTATTCTTTTCTGTTTTGACAAAAGCTTTTGGAACTGTTTGACAGTGAAGACCCCCGAGAGCGAGACTACCTGAAAACAGTCTTACACAGAATTTATGGCAAATTTCTTGGTCTTAGAGCATTTATCCGAAAACAGATAAACAATATTTTTCTACGGTAAGTGCTGGGAGAAGATAGCTGTTGGCTGGTAGATGTTTTAAAAGACTAAATATGTATTAAATATGCTTTTTTCCCCATAGGTTTGTTTATGAAACTGAACATTTCAATGGTGTAGCTGAACTGCTGGAAATTTTAGGAAGGTAAATAAACCTTTTTATTCCTAACTTGCATCAGACATTCATTCTGAAAATGCCAGTTAGCGTGAGAGAGACCTGGCAATGAAAATGTTACATTAAGCTCGGAGCCTGAAAAAAGGTTTTTGCCCATGCCTAACTTCAAGCACACATTTAAGATCTTGAAAGCTTCTTTGCAAAGAGACTATAATTGCACATGTGTTACAGAAAGGCTCTTTTCCTTACATTACAAGCTGTGCCTTTTGTTCTGCTTTGTATATTTGCAGGTTTTGTTTGCACAAGCTAAGCAGTTATTAACATGTTAGATTTATGTCTTGGACAAGTACAGTTGTGGTCAGTTCAGCAGTCAGTTACCAAAGAGGCAAAGTTATATCTGTTGAGCACCAGTGCTGTACAATTGCTCATAGAGTTATTCTCATGTAAGAGCTTAAATGCTTCATAGCCAGGACTGTGGGGCAGACTGCATCTCAGATGTTTTAATTGTATGCATATTGAGCACATATGAGGGTCTAACACAGGGTTGGGCAAAATGCAGGCCAGATTTAACCTGCCAGTTGATTGGATCCAGCCTGCGGACGGGTGCCTGTCAATTGGTTGCATCTGGTCTGCAGCTGCCCCTTGTGGTGCGCTGCATGGGGCCGAGCCTGCGTGGGACAGTCCTCCCCATGCTTCCACCTGCATCTGCCCTGCACCCATCAGACACCACTACCCTGGCCCTAGTTCTAGCCGGCTTGCACAGCTTCCTGGGGGAGTGCTGCCACAGCTGCCCAGGTACTGCTTGGCTCCCCCCCACCTCCTCCTGTGCTGCTCCAGGGAGCAGGTAACATATGGATGCCATGGGCATGCGTGCTGGGCAGCAGGTGCCCAGCCAGGCGGGGGGAACCTGTAGCTGGAGAGCTCAACAGTATGTATTCGATGCATTGGCTGCAGTGCATGGGGCTCCAGGTGCAGCTCCTGGTTACCTTCTACCCACTGTACTGGCTCAGCATGATGAGC